GTGGGTCTCGACCATGAAGCGCACGCAGACCGTACACATGCAACTCACGCACAAGACTAGTCTGTTGGCCTGTCAGCTCCGGTCGGAAGGTATGTGTTTTACTGCACTTGCGTAGCCGCAAAAGACCAATGAGGATATCCTGTTTAGGGTCCTCATAGGCCAAGAACGTTTCCCACCCGCCATTGGCTGTGTAATCGCGTCGCACGAGCTCAACCTGCGACGGGCGGATTTTGTTCTTCACTTCGTTGATGCCCACCTCGCGCGTGCGCACGTCGCGACATGTGGTTCCGAAATCCTTCATGCGGCTCAGTGCGAGCTCGCGGAGGTTGCCGTTTTCCACACCCGAGGTGACGAGGGGCATGGGAATGTCACGCTGCACGCGGTAGATTCTAGTCCAGGGTGGAACGAGGGCGAGGATACGGGCGACAATGTCGATGAGGGCGTTTGGGGTGTAGTTTTTGTAGCGGCCTGTGCGCCAAAGTTCGTATAATCCTGTGCCGCGGATTACGAGAGTTGGGTAGATCTTCAGGCCATCAGTGCGGAAATCCGGGTTCTCGAAATATTCACGGAACTGGTCGAGGTCGCGCTCCATGCCAACGTTAGGAAGGTCTGGCATCATGTGGCTGATGACTTTGAAGCCGGCGTCTTTGGATAGCTTGAATGTTTCGGCTACGGCTTTAACGGTGTGGCCTCTGTTGGTGTCGCGGGCGACGTCTTCGTAGAGACTCTGCACACCGATCTCGAGCCGCGTGCAACCATATCGGAGCATGCTGCTTAGGTGCGTATCTAGGCAGTAATCTGGCCGCGTCTCGATGGTGATTCCGACACATTTAATATTACTCATTTCCCCGGCCTGGACCGCCTCGTCTACATTTTTGGTCTGATAACCGCTGAGCGCATTGTGTAGTTGCGATATGAATTCGTCTCGATAATCTTCCGGAAGCGACATGAAAGTTCCCCCCATGATAATATATTCCACTTTATCCACGCTGTGTCCAAGTGATTTGATTTGTTCGACTCTACCCCGCGCTTGCTCGAAAGGATCATATCGAGCTCTGATAGCGCGCATGGATGTCGGTTCGTATCCGGTATACGACTGCGTAGAATATTCGAAATCAGAGTCGGGGCCACCAGGACAGTAGACGCAGATGTTTCCAGTATAGGCGATATGGGGACACCGGTGTGGCTTGCACATTACAGCAACGACGGCGATTCCAGACGATGTTCCTATGCAGCTTCTATCAGTAAAAACGACCGGGGCTCAAAGAAGCATTATCTCAACTACACATACTTATCGGTTTCGCAATCAGCTTTGGGAGAATGTATTTCTTATAATGCTCTGGGACAGCAGATATAATGGCTGTCAGCGGAGGCTGGGTGCTCAGCTGGTGCTTTTTCGATATCTGACCCCGCAGCTTATTGAGATTGACATCCTTCTTAGGCCTCGTGGGGTCTCGCTGGGACTCAAATTCTTGGATGAGAGCGTTTGCAATATCAGAACAGGCTCTCATATACCGTTCATTCTCGGGGGGAAGCTTTGCGGGTTTCTGGGGTTTGTGCAGTTGCGTGGCGGGCAGCGCAGTCAAGGTCTCCGTTGCCATGATGGGGCTAGTATTTATTTTACAGCTTCTGCAATCGGGAGAATATCAGAGGAGGCCCAAATACAGGAGTCCCCAGTATTATCCGGCTGTTGAGGTGGAGAAGAAACGAAGTCATTTATCGATTTAGATACAAAATGCGGACAAAAAAGAAAATATGTTTAAATGTTGCACCGGGGAAGGTCTAGCGCCACGCCCAAGAATCAAAAACAACGTCGGGCCAATGCCGCAGAGAGAAAAGTAACCTCTCCAGTCCAACCCGTCGTCCTCTTTACTCCCCTTCGCTTGCGTGCCTCCTTTTCCTCTCCGTTTCCCATTACTACACCATGCAAGTGTTCAGGCGTAATACCGCTTCTGTGTTGCGCAATGCTGTCCTTTGCCAGCGCCGTGGTCTCATAACCTCGACTGTTGGATACGCAGCCACGGCGGACAACCTTCGGATCAACAGCGATACAAAAGTCATCTACCAAGGGTTTACTGGGAAGCAGGGAACGTGAGTCCAATAAAACTGGTTCTTCGTCGTCGTATAGTGTGATGCTAATGTTGTCTTGCCAATAGATTCCACGCCCAGCAAGCCATTGACTATGGTCCCGATCCCAGCGTCACCATCATATATCATCGGAACATTACCAGCTGACATCTCTTAGGAACAAATGTGGTCGGCGGAACAAATCCTAAAAAGGCCGGACAAACGCATCTTGGGAAGCCAGTATTCGCCACGGTGAGGGATGCTGTGAAAGAAACTGGCGCAACCGCATCTGCCATCTTTGTCCCGTATGTGCTATCCATATTGGCAGAATGCCTCCACTATATTATATTATATATCCATTGAAAACTGGATGACTAACTTTCTATCTAGTCCTCCATTAGCTGCCAAGAGTATCGAAGAAGCAATTGAATCCGAAGTTCCTCTTGTTGTTTGGTTCGTTCCCCATACGGCTTTCCATCAGTAGTTGAAATAAACAGCACTTAATAAACAATTTCTCAGCATAACGGAAGGTATTCCACAACATGGTATGTTGTCTCGCTAACTCGGTTTTTTTTTGATATCGGAAATTGCTA